GACAGCACGCCCAGCCAAGCCGCCCCTTCCTCTTGGCTGGGGGACTCCATTGCAGGCACCTGCAGCGTTTCCCCGGCTTCCTACTCACTCGCAGACCATCTGCAAAGGGAGGCTTCAGCGCCGGCTCTGCCTCATTTCAACAAGATCACTCTGTACTTGCAGATAACTCTGCCCCCCCCCTTTCAAAAACAGGCTGCTTTACCGCCTACTTCTGTGTTGCTTTGGATCTTCCTGGTAAGGCATCTGCGCTCCTTGCCTATCCGCCATCCCATGTACAACCAGACCTTTAGGGCTGGCTTTTTTTCATTTTAAATTGAGGAGAGAGCTCCCATAGGTGCAGAACACGGCTGTGAGATGGCTCCCACCTGTACATAGCCCGCCGCTTGTGGCACGCCACGTTTTTGCAGAGCTTTGTAGCACGTTGAACGGGGGTGATGTGACCAGATTATTTTTGTAGTCTATGACTATGTCCCTTATCTATTTCTCCACAATTTTACTTAGCGATAGGAAGATGCTGCCCTGTTGCCTTATATGTCAGGGCAGCCAGGAGCACAAAGTACACGGAAAGGAAGCTTCTCAGCACAAAATTGCCAGCAGTTTGGAAAACTAAAGAGGCTTCTCTGTTACTTCAGATAAGTCTTGCAAATAGTTAACAAATCCAACCTCAGGATCTTGTGTGAGTCTTCTGCAGAGCTCCCCAAAGGATGTGTAATCAGTCTGTTACAAAACAGTCGGATCAATAGTCAGAAAACGATCTGATCCCTGGATTCATATCCCATGCATATCCATGCCGGGCTGTGTTCAGCCTTCAGAGTGAAACCTGTCAGCCTGACAGTCGGGGATCGACGCATTCACATCAGCTGGGAGACATCTCGCAGGCGAGCAGGGCTGTGTTACAGTGCAGCAGCTAAAGAACTGGTGCTCTACGCTTATTTTGTGCCTCTGCTGCTCTTATTAATATTCAGACTTAGAGAAAAGAATGAGACTCTTACCTATAATTTGGGGGGTTTGGCTTAATAGCCCATAAGTAGGTATGATCATATCTTAGAAAGACTGATATTTCACCTACGTTGTATGTCTATGCATAACAATAATAAATTCTACCTTTCTGAGAAAAATGCCAAAAATACCATTTCAAAGGTGAAAGAAAAGGGAAAGGGAAAAGGGAATAGAGGAAAAAGGGAAAGGGGAAAGGAGTAGTAATAGAATAGTGATTTTTTTAATGATAATTGCTTATGTATAACTTCTGTAGGGGAAAAGGGAAAATTGCACTATGAACTTTAGAAAGAAACAGTGGTGCTTAGAAAGTACAGGCTTATTATATTTTCTCTAATGAAGTGAATGGTTATTTATAAAAAGAAATATTATTTTGACCTGTACACATTCATTTCTACCATATAGTTTCATAGCAGCTATTAACAGAGCAAGAGAAACCTAAAAAGATACTAAATAAACTATAAGGGAAAAAAATGATAGAGCACTGATCCTGTCGTTCATTAATGGGCTTCATTAAATAGGAACAGACTTTGAGGACCAGAGACAGTAGACGTTTCTTGTTCAGGAAACAACTCTGGGTTTTGTGTATCAATGCCATTATTTTTCTACAAACTGGGGGTTTTTTTGCAAGCACTTTCCTGTACAGTGTTTCTTTTCTTTCTGCTTATACTCAAAAGGAAATGACAAGACCCGTAAGACATGTCTGTATGGTCTTTCTGCATTTGCC